GAGTTAGGTAGTGAATCGGGTATGTTTATCGTACGTCGTACATCGTGCAACGTCGCTTTGAGCATGGAATTTTCTTATTGAATACCAAATGTTTTGATTATGATGTTTTTATGCTTTGTTTTGACGGTGTGTTTATTTGGGCATGTGATCATTGTTGAAGCATTGTCAACATTGATGTATTTAATGCCTTTGTAATCTCTTAATTTTTAGTTAATATAATTCTTATTGAGTTTTTAACTTTGTAAAGCAGAACGCATTTTTTATATTACTTATTTACAAGGTTTACATTGGTTACAAATTATAGTACAGTTAACAAGTCAGTTAACAAGTTGATTATAGATTCTGTAAAGGATTATACACATTTACTTAAACTTATTTAAGCAATATGCTAATACAATCTAAAGGTACCCTGTAAAATTCATTGTACACGAACGAGGTCAATAGTCTCAGAATTTTGATGTAGAGTATGTTTCTTCTGTTATGGTTAAATGCTTCTAAAATCTATTGAAGTTATGGCAAGTGCTAAGTCAATTTAAATGTTCACAAAAATACATTGATATCGTTTCTCTTCCATTAGATTTCATAGGCGATGGTTAATTTCTCGTTTTCTATTGATTTCAAGTATACAATGCAGTTTTCAAAATTAATCCACATCTATATCAAAGACTCCTATACTACAGGTTCATCATCTACATTTCTGTTTTATTTCCGTAATTAATACTAAAACTTAAGAAAAACAAATGAGTGTGAATTTGAATAAAACTAACTCTATCATATATTTGAGGTTATCAACACCATTTTCAATATTATTTGACTCTTTTGTCCCGTTCAAATTTCAATAAACTGGTGTATGTTTTGTAATGTTGTAAATATTTGTTGGAAATCTGCAAAGGAAAAGTACTTCTTACAAAGGGATCACTGTAATATGATTTTTGTAGTTTCTTTTATTTGCCGACTTTTCATTATAATTGTCTCAATTTTGGCCGATAATTTTTCAGAAACTAAACAAACAACACAAAGTATGAATTTGATATATTCATCTTTCATCCTTCGCATCGTCAAATGTATACAAAACTCACAGGGAGGAGAAAAGCTGAATTTACTATTTATCTTTTCATCTCAATCATCTTTAAAATTTTATCAAAATATAAGTGCCATTTTTTTACTAAAAACTTTTTCATCAAGTCCATTAGTCTTAGTGGTCCAATTAGTGTGAACATTTTAAAATAAATGTTCGGTCAAATCCGAACAGCATTTAATTTTTATTTAATATGGCTCTATCTTTGGAATAAAATCATTTATTAAAAAGTAGTCAAAACGAAAAAATCTATACAGGACTCGAAGGTCGTTTATATGGCGTTTGCGCGACTGACGCCTGCACGAACTTTTATCTTTCGAAACGTGGCAACGCCGCGTAGCGGTTCTAGTTGGTCGTTCCCCTTTTCCCCCCTGCGCGACCGTATCCAATTGCTTGCTGGCTGACTGTTCGCCGAATCGCTTGGCACGGCCAGCCTGCTGTGCTGTTGCTGTCGTTTCTGTAGTCGATATTGCTGTTGGTGGATCGATTTGGATTCGGACACAGCAACGAGTTCGGATAGGGTCCAAATGAAAACTGAAAGTTTTGCTGATGGATTTTAAATTGATCCGAGTGGATTTGTGGATATAGTAACGATTTATAGTTTATAGCATCTTAATTTTTTTTTCAGTTTTATTCATAGATGTCAGATTATTTTCGCGTCCTAGCGTTGCGGGCTTTGGCCAAGGTCGCTTAGGTTCCAGGTAGTCGTTTTTAGATTATAGGCTGATTATAGGCCTGTATAGGCTGATGGTCGCTAAATCGACCACTTTAATTTAACCAACTGATTAGTCGTGTGGAATTGTATTATCGCCCAGTTTGTTTGCTATGCCTTATTTCTATGCCCGCTTTGGCCATTTAATCAACCATATCTATACGTTAGACGAATTGAATATTCGAGCTTACTCTTTTTTCTAACATTGGATGATACAGTTTATACATTATACATTAGATCATTACATATTATCTATTTGCTTTAACAGTTTCTGGTTGAAAAATCGACCACCTCCCACTTCTTTATTTGTTAACTTTTTGAAAAATGTTTCTATGTTACTTTATTTATGCTCCCTATGTGCTAGTTTATATATTTTTGAAGTCGATTTGATCAAAGTAAAAAATAATTAGTACTGCCTTAAAAAGGGTTAAATTAAAACGACAGTTTTACCAACATCTCTTGACATAGATACCCATAACTTTATATCGTTGGAAAGGGTTAAACGCCAGCATTTTTTTAAGTTCATAGCCAACTATGATTTCCATTTAAAAAATTATATTTTTCATTATTACTGACAAAAAGAGCAATTATAGAAAAAAACTGACTACCCCACTGGATTGTGCTTAAAAAAGTGCCTTAGGAACGTTTTTACAGAATTTTATTATTCCGCGAAATACAAAAGTTATGGGCAATTTTCCAAATGGTAAAAAATTCAAAAAGACCCCGTATCTCAGTTGGCAGTGAAAATATCAACAGGCGGTTTATGCCATTAAAAGTGTCTCAGAAATCGAGCCCATGACATCTATGTCGGTTTTGTTCTGTCTAGTCAGGAAATAGGTTTTCTCTGTTAAAACAGACCAATTTCGACCACCCTGTGCATCAATAAATAAATAACCCATAAAAACGCTTAGAATAATCTTCATAATGGACTAGTTTTTTCCAATATGTAATAAGTAAAATAAGCAAAATAAATCAATTAATTACTAACGTATATATAACTATAACTATAAAACAAATAAATCAATTAATTACTAAAATATTAATTAAATTAAAATTAATAAATAAATGCCTTTATTGTCAAAAAAATTTACAAATTATAGACAAAGGTAAAGTAAACAAACAAAGTAAATAAACAAACAAACAAAGAAGAATACAAAACATTATACAATTAACATAGTCAGTCTTGTTATTGTTTAAACAATTGTGTCATTGTTTAAAATAAACATTTATAAATGTTTACAATGTCAAAGAATAAAAAAATAAAAATAAGCTTCAAAAATATTTAGTAAGTTTATAGTAAATATCAATGCCCTCTAGATAAATTTATTTCGATGTCATTGGTAAATATAGTAATAGCAAACATTAGACCAGTGTTTACAAGACCCAATTCGATTATCAAAATATAAGTCATTTACGGCGTAGAAAGCCCTGTCTAGTAAATAAGATTTCAATGCTTTGCGAAATGAAGAAAATGATGTTATGGATTTGATTTCAAATGGCAGGTGATTGTGCATTTTTTTCGAGTTGTATAATATGAACTTTTAACTAACTCTGAGCGTGGGATAGGGAGATAAAGATCTTGCTCCGCGTTCCTGAGTGGATAAGTGTGAGATGACCTTTCTTGAGAAGCTGATACATGCTTACGTATTAGGCTTCTTCTTACAGTGCCATACTCTATACAGAGCGTTGGCTACTTCTTGCATGTACTTGTGAAGTGTGTCATCAGTGTTTCACAACGGCACTATTTGAGAGGCCGTACAAGGCAAATGTACTCAAGGTGGTTTGCCATTGCCTTCCTTGAGGTGGCGACCCTCTCGTCGCTCTATTTAGATAAATCAAATATTTTTATTCAAATAAATAAAGCGACCGTACTGGCTGAAGATCGAACCAACTACCATCCCATCTCTCGCACCGCAGATCGACACACTAACTGCTTGCGCTACGGCCGACCACAATAATACGTATTAGGCAAACGGATTCAAAATATAAATAGAGAAGGAATAGTTAATATTTTTAATTTTTTAAAAAAGTCCTGGCAATTAGTTCTGCTGTTTAGTCCCAGTGAATATCGAATAGCTTTCTTCTGGAGCTTGAAAATGCGGTCAAATTTAGTCGCGCAACACGTATCCCAGCATGGAAGGGCATATCTGAGGTGCGACTCAAAAAGTGCATAATAAACAGTTCTAGCCACTGACAAGTTAAGCTCCTTAGAAACAGATCTTAATGCATGTCTACAACAAGCCCTAAGAATTTTACAGATTTTACGACGTTAATGGTGGTGTTGTTAAGTACCAAAGGGTGCAGCGAGTTTTTATACGACAAAGCTCTAGTTTTACAAATGTTGAGACTCAGGAGGTTCGAATCGCACCAAGATTTAATGGTGATTAAGTCATTTGATATAATCCTATGAAGTGCCGTGACGTCCTTGTTGCTCCAAGTGAAGCTAGTGTCGTCCACAGTAAAAAGACATATTTTACCACTGATGTTTATGTTAGCAAACAAAAACAAACGTAAAACTCTTTAAAAAATGATATAATAAATATATTGTTTTTCAATTTTAAATTATGATTCATCTCATAAATCCATCACAATCTGGCAGCGCTGTGCCCATCGCTTGCCACTCAAAGTCGATCACGTGCATCGGAAATTGTTTTGCGATTACCATATATAATAGAGAACGTTTAGTTTAAAAAATAATACATTCTATATATTCAGACTATAGAGGCAGTCTCTATTGTATTTCAATTGAATTATTAATCTTAAGATAACATTATCAAAATTTTTACATTAATTAAGGGGGAGAGGTGGGCGGTTAAACCACAATTTGCCACACACAAGGCAAATTTGCGACGGGCTTTAAATGGTATGATGACGCCACTGGATGAATTTTATTAAGACCCCCCTACACTTCGGTTATTTTGCTCGGTTTTAACTGTGCAGTTAACCGTTAAGACCGCGCTGGTAGAAAGCACGGCCAAGCAACCTCCACATCATACTGTTTTTTTTTCGGTTAGTTTATTATTTCCGCGCCGAGAAACAACTTGCTAGCAGTGGCGTCTCCAATTCAATGCGGTAAAAAAGAAAATCGAGAAAAGGCATACACGAAAATGGTTGTGAAAAGAAACTGCTCGCGCCACTGGCTTCAATAAAGCTGGTGGAAACATACCGTTAAAATATATGTCGAAGACATGTCGCACATGTAATCCAAAACCGTCACTATACCAAAAAGCAAAACTGTTCAGTAGAAGCATTTTAAAATTTGCAGTTAAAGAAAAAGTTAAGTAATACAAGTTTATGTGAAAAATAAACTTAGAACTTTTATGGTAGGATAAAAAAATGTTTTTCTTTAGACTTTGACTCAACTAGAAGTAAAAAAAGTTGAATATTGATTTATTATTTATTGACTTAGTTTATAGTGTCACTATTCCGTTTTTTTTAAACACAATTTTGAACAATTTTGTTATAATACATTTTTCACATAAATGGGCAAAAGAAAGGTAAAACAAAGAAGCTATTTTATCAACAGTTTTATTAAACTATTAAAGGAGGTAAGTAGTTAGGTCTTGGCAGGTACAAAAACAGTGAAACATAAAACTAGACTCACTGTATATCAATACAACCACGACAAAAACGTAATAAAAAACTTAAACCTAATCAGACTCAAATAAGGGTGAGTATTAATTAAAATTCTTCATAATTAATACCTACAACGTTTAGAGAAAAAAAATGTTTTCTACGAAAAAAGTTATAAGACGGCCTTCAATCTATAATACTATTATAGAAAGAGTGGGCGTAGCATTGAGGTATTAAGCTATTATCAATGAGACTCTTGAGATCGTGTTTTTTTCGATCCCCTAACTCTAGCCTCGCCGTGTAAAGTTTTTTTAATTGAAAATTTTTTCGACTCTGACGCGTTGAACGAGGCGCCGAAGAGTTGATCTCCTTAAAAATTGGGTCTCCGTATGAAGTTTTGTAAAATATCTGGAGTTGTGCGTTTTCTGACTTTACAAATTTAATTATTTTTATATCACTTAATTTCACAACTCCCCCTTCAGTATTTTTAGTAAACCGACTGCCACACTCGTTTGCCAAATCTTTTAAATCGTAAAAATCATTGTAACATAACTCGTTGACCTTATACGGAGTTCCTCTCTTTCGCGCAGTTCTGATTATTCCGATAAACTGCTCAGGTACATAAATTGGACCAGATCTTAAACATTTTTTAACCTCTTTTTCAATGACGGAATGAACAGAGTCGTTTTCATTTTGCGTATGACCAGCAATAAGAAATTTATGGGTAATGCTCTTTATTTTTAAATTTGCCAGAGCATACATGTACATGGAAAATATAAATTGGTTTTTCTGCTGACCACAGCAATTATCGGAATAAAACACGATTTCCAACTCACCATTGTTAACAGCCTCTGACTTATTTTTTAAATAACGCAAGACGCAAGACCCAATTTCGTTGGCACCTCGGAGTCCTTCAACTTCATTCCAAACAAAACATTCGCAGCTATCCTTTGCTAGTTCAGTAATTGTAAAATTATACGCGTTAATTTTGGATTTGTAGTAAAAGGTAGAAACCTCACCTTTGGGTAAGGGCAAAACCGCCTGTAAATCGTAACATGATACAATAAAATTATTTTTTACTTGTTTTTTATCGTCCTCTTTTTCTTTTCGACTCAAATCTTTCTCTAAAATATGGTTTTCATACTTCTCCCTAAGCTCCAACTTCTGTTTTTCATCAGCTATACCATACGAAGTGCAAAGTTCACATTGGTCCTTCTTCGGTACAAAAAAACTGATGTTATAGTCGGTTTTAAATATTTTTCTATAGCTATGGAACTGAGCTGGTTGACGACCTTCTTTTAAGCAATCTTCTTTGTAGTCTCTAAACAAATCCATCAAATTTTTTCCGCCGTCTATAAACTCTCGAGTTGTCTGTTTCCTTAAATAGTGACTTTCAATTCGTGGCACTAATTCTATGTGTTTTTTTATTCCAGTTATTGTGTCCTTACTTATCTTTGTTTGTTTGCCATGTTTTCCTCGCATTTCGGGCTCAACGACACCTTCACTGTTAATCTTATCAATAACTGTTCTAATGGGCCGGTCATTAATACCAAGAGTATTCTTAAAAAATACTTTACATACCCGTGTTTCGACCAAGTTTACCTTGAAATGAAAGGCATGTTTTGATTTGCGATTGCTGTTAATCATTTTATATTGATATTTGGGACAAATCACTTTCATGCAGCCTGAAATAAAATCTCTTTGTCTTGTCAAACTGGCTAAATTCCAGTAGCTTTGAAAAATGTTTGCTCTCTGATTTTCACTTATTTTTTCTGAACATTTAAGACGGCATCTTGAAGTGCAAGGTGGACCCATTTTTTTCGCAGCAACGATTTTCTTTGATTTTGATAAAGAAATGTACTGTTTACCAGAGTCCCGAAGGATTTTAGCCATTTTCTTTTTAGAAATCTGTCCCTTTCGTCGTTTTTTGGGAGGACCTTCTTCCTTTTCTTGATCCGATTGAGTTGATTCACTACCAGAGGATTGACTGCTTTCTTGCTCGATGACGGCTTGAGAAGGTAATAAGTATTCTTCATCTTCATCGGTCATAAATGGATCTGTCTTGGATGATGTCGATGAACTGCAGGTTGAAGAGCGTGAAGATGAAGATGAAGACGTCGATGAACCTGAAGCCGATAATGTTGAGGCTTTTGGTAAGTCCACCGATTCCGTTGATTTGAAACTGGTACTTCGGTTTGGTGGAGTTGTAACAGTTTCTAATAGCTTGAGGCCATTTGATTGCACAGACGTCTTTAAAGAAAATGTTGGACTTTGTTCCGCTAATAGGCAAGTAGGTGGTTCAGAGGGCTCATTGATACTAGGTGCAAGTTCCTCTGTGATTTTAGATGGTGTTAAAGATACTTCGGGAACGGAAAAATCGGGAAAATGTTGTTCTTGGTCATTCCTCTGTGATAGCGAGTCTTGACCTTCAAGAGCAAGCTTTAGAATTAGGTCAGTTCTTCGCATTTTGACCTGAAAACAAAGTAACTTTTAAAAGCAAACATCCAATCAGATTTATCAGCTATTTTTTACCCAAAGTTAAAAAACACGAATTAATAAATGGCAAGTTATCGTGTACAATTAATACAGTTTCGGTTAATTTGTAAAAACACACTACTATGGTAAATTAATATTCGAACTGAATCTCTATACAAAATTATATAAAAAGATTATGTGGAAAAATGACATTAAACAAAATACCCTCCTACAACAATTACTTATTTTAAAAAATACTTAGCAATAAAGCGTCTCTAAACAAATAATGTCATTTTTATAGAAATTATAATCTATTTTTATTTTATTTTAGATAACGCAATACTGTCACTAAACCAAAAGTGACGGTATTGCATATTAAAATAACCAATTTTACCTTTAATGCACTCGATAAACTGACACTAAACAAAAAATGTCACTTTTGCACAATTTGTGGTATACTACTTGCTCCACACACTTGTTACAACTGGGATAATGTCACTGTTGCGTACGGCGACCTCGCGAATTCCATAAATGCTATAGAGACACTTACGCCCTCTAGAGGTTTCTGCTAAAAGTTTTTAGAGATTTGGTATAGTGACGTTGTTGCCAATACGGTTTTGGACAATGTTAGCAGAAAAAGTACATTTACAAAAAATTTTGTATAGTGACGGTTTTGGATTACATGTGCGATGTATTGAACGAACGGACAAAACTGGACCCATACACTGACGTTTTTAACTGAACAATCCTACCCGTTGGGTTAAAACAGTGCAAAATAACTGAAGTCTATGTAGAAGTGTAACTTTAGACACAGGTTACTGAAATACCTAAAATATTACATGACCCCATTTTACAGTTTTATCAGTTGAGTATAGATAATTTTGACTTCGTGTAGGTTTGTCATCGTTATCTGTGTATTAACTCTTAATACCGAACAATTTTTTTGTGTTTGATTTAAAATTATTTTAGTTAAAGATGCTGTATTTGATTTTAGCTAAAGATGCTGTCTCTATTAATATTTAATTTGTTAAGATGTTTTTTATTTCTCTATTTTAATAGATATTTACGATACAAGTGCTAACTACTACGTACTAACTATCTATCCTAACTAACTATACCTATCCTAAAAATCAATTACCTCCAATACCTTTATTCAAATAACACCATGCATGGCAATGTCAATATGACAGTAAATAATATTGATGTCACTAGTTTAAAAAATGAGCGATTCGGAAAGTATTCCCTGGACTTATTATTAGATTAGACCGAAATCATAAATTTGAAATGTTTTTGTTCCAAAAGTTCAACAGAAACTGTTTTATTATCATTTTTTTGCAGAAAAATTTATCATTAATTTAAAAAAAAATAAAAACTTCCCAAATTTATTATTTCAGTGAAATAACTATCTACTCAACGTGTTTATTTTTCGTCAATAAGACATGTACTGTCTATTTCCATTCTAAATATCTTAAGAACGGTTGCTCGTAGCGATTTTTACATAGAGATATTTTTTACGTCACAGAGATGTATATATTTCCGCTCGGTAGTTTTATACAGTTATTACGCTTCAAAACAGTTAAAACACATGTAGGTGGCGCCCTCTACTAGTAGGAGGCATATTAACATCAAAATCAAATTTCTCATGTCAAAAAACTCCCAGAGACCAATTTTCATCCAAATATTGACGTTACTTCAGAAATTATTTAGAAAAAATCGAAATAAAAATGAAACTTCTACACCCTGTATCTCTGAAACTAAGCATTTTAGGACATACATCTATACGAACTTTTTTACTTATTTTTACCTGCAGAATATGCTGCCAAAGTTTCCGGAATTGAAGTTCGGACCACCCTGTATATGCTTTTTCAGGCATTTACTTGAAAGATTGTTCAAACTGTATCATTAACATTTATAATAAATATGTTTTTATAATTATTATCAATAGAACAGTTTATTTGTATTTAGTAGGTATTTAGTGCAAAATAAATGTTTTACAAAATATTTTTTTCTCTTTGGTAGTCATCTAAACAAGGAGTGCGGTAATGAAATGCGTGAGTTAAGAAGCTCTTAACTCACTGAAAATGCGTGAGTTAAGAGCTTCTTAACTCACTGACGTAGATAAATTACTTTACCGGATTGGAATAATATGAGCAAAAAAATGTTATTCACGAATTCTACAGTATGTTCCCGGATTGTCTTTACAAGAGAGTCCAAAAAATCTAAACGCGTTTCTATGGTAAACGCGTTCTTCGTTTTCATTCTTTGATAGATTGTTATTCGGAATTTTAATTAACGTCATATTTTTTGTTGTTTTAAAAGTTAAGGAAGCACAAAATTTATTTACTTCAAAACTACGGAAAGGGTGATGATAGTTATCGGAAAAGAATAATCACGTTAATCAAAATTATTAATAACCATCTATTAATGAATGAAATGGATTGATATTACGATAGAAACTCCTTTTAATTTTTAGGACTTTCATGAAAAAAATCTACCATATTTTCATGTTTTTCTTAACTTTCTCTAAAACGGTCTAGAAATTTGGAAAAGTATAAACGGGATTAACTATTTTAGAACAAGCAAATTTTTTTATGGAGATTGCATTTTTCTCAAAATGTCAATAATAAAAAAGGCTTTCCTCTTGTAATGACAATCCAGGGACATGCTGTATTGTTTCCTACATGGTATGGTATAACTTCTTAATGTACCAAATGCGATATTTATGAATTTCATAACACTAAAATGTTTGTTATTACCCTAGATCATATATACTTACGTGGATAAGTAAATCACTATGGAAACTGTCGCAAACGTATCAACAACTTTTATCTTTTTTTTTTTGTTGCACACGATGTGCTTCTACTCTATCTATTCTTGTCGAGGACCTGTCGTCCACGCGCAGCAATTTGAACATTAATTTTAAAAATTTAATGTAAAATGCATATATTTGAACAATAAAATGAATCTTTACTGTCACAAAAATTAAATTATATAACAATACGTTTAGCCACTCCGTATCAATATCAATATCCTTTATATTAGAACTTCTACACACCAAACACTTTCTAGTCATTATTATTTTAGTAGAGTATTTAGAAAGTCAAAAGTAAAAATTTTCGTATAGCGTATGACGTTACAGGTGGTATGCGCAAACTGAACGAAATTGGAGCCGCTATCGATCATACCTTGTTTTCTTTGTATCGTGTTTCTAAACCGTATAAAATTGTGATTATTTTGGAAATACGTGTAACTTTTACTTCTTCTTTCTTCAAATGCCTTCTTCGTTGCGAAGGTTGGCAATCATCAGTGCTATACGTATTCGTGACACAGCCGACCGAAATAGTTGGTTTGTGGTGCACCCGAACCAGTCACGTAAGTTTCTCATCCATGAGTGGCGCCTTCTTCCTACACTTCTCTTTCCTTGAATTTTTCCTTGTAATATCATTATGTGGTAAAGGTAACTCCCGAAACTTTGGAAACTTTAGCACAAATAGGTCCTAACGAAGAATTTTTACAGAGGCAAATAACTAAGAAGCACAAATATGGAAATAATTTAAAAGCTTTTTCCCTTACGTTACATTTTTATTCTGTAAAAGCTTATAATTTTGTCAGGAACACTTTTTAATTCAGCTCTTCCCATCCTAAAACAATATCGAGATGGTATAAAAATGTAAATGGGGAAGCTGGTTTTTACATTAGAGGTGTTTCAATTATTAAAAAAAAAAAAGGTAGAACATGCCAATCGCACAATTATATGTAGTTTAGTAATAGATGAAATGGCAATTCGCCAACATGTAGAATTTGATGGAGTTCGATACTACGGATTTGTAGATTATGGTATTCAGCTAGAAACTGACTCTAATCCAGTAGCAAAAGAAGCACTGGTATTTATGCTAGTTGGTGTCAACGAATCTTGGAAGCTTCCTCTGGGATACTTCTTAATTGACTCATTAAATGGTTTACAGAAACATAATTTACTAATACAGTGCCTAAAATTACTAAATGAATCGGGGTATCCACTTGGTGTCTATCACTTTGATGGGGCTAGTAACAATATTACTTTGGCTAAACAACTGGGTTGTAATTTTGATTATAAAAATATTAATTCAACATTTGTTGACCCCTAACTCTGGGAGAAGAATTGCAGTTTTTTTTGATCCATGTCATATGGTAAAGTTAATTAGGAATACATTGGGTGAAAAAAAAGTTATTATAGATGACAACGGTGGAACAATAAAATGGGATTTTTAACAGAGTTGTGTAAACTTCAGGGATGAAGAGGGTTTGCACTTGGCTAATAAAATGCGAAAATCACATATATTTTATAGCAACCAAAAAATGAAGGTTAAATTAGCCACCCAACTATTTAGCCAATCAGTAGCACATTCTTTGGAATATTGCAATGAAATTTTAAAACTTGAACAGTTTAAAGATTCTGAACCCACAGTAAAATTCTTATACGCTATATAAACAACTTATTTGATATATTAAACAGTAGAAATTTGCACCAACTTGATTTCAAAAAACCAATCAGTATGCAAAACTTTGAAAAATAAATTCTTTTTTGTGTGAATTATTAGATTATTTAAAATCATTAAGATTAATGGATGGCAAACTATTGTGCGAAAGCGGCAGAAAAATGGGATTTGTAGGGTTCTTATTTAATATAGAAAGCCTTCAATTTCTTTATAAAAATCTAATTTATGAGAATAATTTACTGTTGTATTTCCCTACCTACAAAATAAGTCAAGATCACATTGAATTATTTTTTGGGCAGATTAGATCTCTGGGTGGTTACAACAACAATCCATCAGCAAAACAATTTAAATCGGCGTATAAAAAAAATGATGGTCCATCTTGAATTGAGAGATTCATTTAAAGGGAATTGCATTCCGTTGGAAGCAATTCCAATTTTAACTCCTTCTGAGGTAATTAATAAAACATGTGGTAAAGAACGCATTTCAGAAGTAACCGAAGAAGTAATTGAAGTTGAGGACGATGAAATATTTCACAATGCTTTAAACATAAATATAAATATATCAGAATTTAAAAAAGAGGCCATAACATACATTGCTGGCTTTGTGGTTAAAAAAATAGGTAAAATTTTTAAAATGCGAGGAATGTGTCTATTCACTTTCAGGTGACAGGTATAATTTAATAACGTCCTTTATTAAATCAAAAAAGACAAAGGACAGTACCTCTTTATATCCATCTGAAGATGTTATGTATATTTGTTTAACAACAGAAAAAATTCTTCTCGATATTTTTAACGGTTCAGAAACTGTTATCGATATTAAAAATAAATATTAGAGTTTTAAAAATAATAATTGGTAAAAAAACTTATTTGAATCACTTAATAACCACTTTAGAGAACAAAATATTTTTACTAGCCACTTTAACAACCTAATAGAATTAATTTCTTCTATATATGCAACTGTGCGAATTCATCATTATAACAAAAGTCTGTTTGACAAAAGTAGAAGTATACGGTCTAGTTATAATAAGTTAGTATTATTTAAGGGACAATAATATTTTGTAATTCTGTAAAAATATATTTTTTTTTTCAAACGTCAAAAAGTATTAGTTTTTACAACGTGACTGACAATATAAAAAAGTAATTTTACTGCCTAGGCATAAAATTAAAGCACTTTTATGCCCAAGCAG